TATCTAGTTTCGACAAGTCCGGCCTATTGGCAAAGCTAGGATTGATTGTAGACGCTAAGTCCGACGCGAAGGGACTCCGAGGGTCGCTGAGACGATAATTCTGGTACGCTGAGAGGGTGAAGTACAAAACTTGGATTTTCCACTACGCTCTATACATTTTTATGCTATTGGAATGGTTTTGCGTCCGCCCGGAGTTAAATAACAAATATGCTCCGCATCCCACACAATTACAGTCGACTCTGTCTTAACCCATAACGGGTCGTGGAACCCAAAAGTTATGGGTTTCTGCAGACTATGGGTTACCAGAATGTGTGACATTGTGTGACTACCTAGTACACGTGACAGACAGCCTATCCGGTATAGGCCGGACGTCGTTTATGACACCGTTTAGATACGGAATCTTGAGTCTGGTATGGGTTATCTTCTGAAATACCACGAGAACCAAAAATTAAGGGTTCAGATGGTCCAGATTCTCGTGAGAAGGAAGACCTGTACCTTCCTAATATAGGTTGTTTTATGGGTTATGACCCTTCAGAAAGCTATGGGTTATGGGATACGGCAGACTTATGGGTTTTTACTATCTACCATGTCGGTGGAAGCCAAAAACCTATGGGTTATTACAGGTTATGGGTTATGACAGGTATGGGTTAAGACAGAGTCGACTGTACTCAGCCTTTGCCCACCGCTATACCATGTCCCATACGATCCTGCCGTGTTTCCACATGCTCGTCCTAGGTCCTAGAGGTAGCCTCGACGCGTCAATGCTCGCTTGAAGTGCCTCATCACGCGGTACTGCAGGCTGATCACGTGCGGATTAGCTCCGGCCGCTTGCTGACTGATACGTTCCGTCCGGCCGTCGATTTACGTCCGCTGACTCGGTCGCTTTGACGGAAACGAAGGGGAGTGATGACTGGGGAGTGGTGATACCAATGACTCACTGCGACGCAGGCCTCCGCCGTTCCCGGAGATAATTAGTCACAAAGATATTCTTCCGGGTGACTTCGGAGCGTCTGGCAGCGGAGCTAAATCATTTCGGTGATCTGCGCCTGCCTTGAGGATGTTAGAAGGTCCGGAATTAAATCCAGAACCCTTCGTCGGTTACTTGTCGCGTAAGAGGTTCGACAGGTGGTGTCGAATAAACTTTGGAGGGGATGTATGGTGTGTCAAATTCGCAATTTCGGGGGTCAGAAGATCGCTGGGGCTTATCAGCGTGCATGGGACCGCTATGCACGACATATCAAGGGGTCTGAAGCGCGTGCTATCCAGCTATTTCTTGCCCGCTACGAGACTCGCGAGCGTCAGTACATACGGGTCCATCACTGGTCAAAGGTACGACTGCCGAATACACAGGTCGCTCGCTCAGCATGGAAAGAGCTTGAGCGCTCTAATCATAATGCTCGCGTATCTCGCAATGTGAAGGTGCGTGCTCTCAATGTCTCCAGCTTCCCAGAGCTGTTGAATTGAATCTCTACTTTTCCAGGTGTCTCATGATGGGCAAGTTTTCATCGCTGAGGTATTGTATTTCATGAAGCTTGATGAATCACTTGACAAGTGTCCCATTTGCCCACCCTGTGCGATGGTGCAGAGATATAGCGAGCCAGATGATACATTATGGAGAATATCCCACGGCACACTCCTGTCATGTCTTCCCGGCGGTCCTGATGATGTTCTTGTTATAGACATTAAAAAAATCCTCACTGTAGTTGCCATGGTTCCACACCGTCCTAGGATCCCGGGGAAAGTTGGCACTGAAGATCGATTTTTTGTGGCAGAGAAGCCTGGTCTTGCAATCGATGTTCTCTCTGGTCGCACGGCTGAAGATATTGATCGATAGTTTCTGTATATAACTTAGGTCCCAGCTGTATTGCATGGCATCACATCACATCAATAAACATTTTCTTGTAAATAACGACCAGCCGGGAGAGGGACTTAGCCAAACCACGACGCGTCAATAACGCGTCCTGTCACATAAAGTCACACTTATGTTGTCACTGAGGTTCTCCTTGCTCTCCCGCCTCGACGACTTTATTCCATCTGCCTATTGCTTTCTATAAAGTCGCATTCCCTAGTGATTCTGCTATGTCTGGAGACTCCGACTGCGAGCATCCTAGTTCTGATAGCATGGACTCCAATTATGGATACAGCAATTTTTCTTCACACTTCCCCCCCGGTCGCAGCGACAACACCAATGCTCAAAATCATTTTTCCTGCAACTCTTCTAGACCTCCAGAGAAACCAGCGTCAACTGAAGAGCATCTCGCGGTTCGCAATTTGACTTTGCCGCGCCAAAATCCGGCGCATACACACGCCGCCGGATCAAGAATCCCTGCCTTTCTCAGTTCAGCAGATCCTACTAGTACTCTGAGCTCCTTCCATAGTAGTACTCAGCATCACACGAACCGTATGCCATGGGAGCACTCAATTTTAAGGTCACCAGCTCCAATTCCATACACATCTGGGTCGACACATCTGAATCATCTCAGGCCGACACCAAACTCTAACCATTCTGATCTTGCTCAGCTTGGCAACCGCAACTCTCCTACACTCGGAAATGACTCTCTTGGTTGGCTGGAGACTCTCGATCATTGTACCCTCCTGGAATACTGTCAGCCGTACTCCCGGATGCATCAGTGCCTTACAGGTACCCGGCGTGAAGCAGAAGCCTTGCGAATCCACCTGGAGAAGTCCAAAGAGGAGCTCGCAGTTGCAAAGGGTACTATACAGACCCTCGAGTTGAGTATATGCGCTTTCAAAACAGCCACTTGTACTCAAAGCATATAGGGCACTGCTGGACAAGAGCATGGCACTCCGTGGCTCGAACATAGACACGACACCTCCCTCCCAGGCATCTGAGAGCTCCATACTCAAGGCACATTTGTTACTTGAGAAGCCGGCGTATGATTACCCAACAGCTGAGTCGTATTCAGCTGCCCAGCTTGCATGTATGTTCTGGTGCAAGTCCCACTGGCTTGACAGCACCAATCACCCTGATGACAAGCGCCCTCCACCTGGTCCGAAGGGCAAACAACGGCGCGCTCAAGGTTACAACGTACCATTCCGCTTCATCACTCAAGAGGACGGCACTATCATCGATGGCTTTCGCGTTCAGGAAATCTCTAGGCTGGTCTGGGACTTTTTGTTTGCCTTGCGAGACGCCGGCGAAGCTACGCTGACTTGGGATAAGCTGGGCTTACATAAGAAGAGAGCGCTCTATGTCACCATGAAGAATGCCTTCAAGGAGCTGACCTACTGCGAGAACGATGATATGCACTGACACACAACAATCACCAAGGACCAAAAGGAATAAACCTAAACCCCGTGATATGGGTGAAGGCGGTCCGAGACAACTGAAGGGTATTTAATAGTTCGAGGGGGAAAGGAGGAGTAAGATGCCGTAGGGTAGTCCGTAGGAAGACCTAGAAAAATAAAACAAAACCTTGACGCCTGAAACAAACACTAAGGGACGCTCCGGAGTATTTATCTCCGGAAAGTCGCAGCCAAAGTCGCAAACCACGAAACCGAGTGTAGGTTCGGGCCCACGGGAGTAGAAATTGCTAGAGAAACTTGGTTAATTTTATTTCGCTATGCGAGACTCACCGGAGCTAATTGGATCGATGGCGGAGATAATTCACTCGACGAGTCAGGCCTATTGGCAAAGCTAGGATCGGTTATAATTTGCTAAGTTTGACGCTTTCGAACTTCTCGGGTCGCTGAGATCGTAATGCTAATTCTCTGAGATGGTGAAGTCGAAACTTGTTTTTCTGTACGCTACTTTGTACAATTTATACTACAGGAATGGCTTTGCGACCGTCCGGAGATAAATAACAAATAACCGCCGCTACCCACAGGATTGCTCAGCACTTGCCGCCATTATACCATACACCATACGACTCCCTTGCACTCCCACTTGCTCGTCCCAGCCCCTAGAGGTCGCCTCGACGCTCCGCCACCTGACCCAAGCGGTCCCATCACTCCATGTGACGCTCCGGTCACGTGCTAATTACCTCCGGCCGCTTGCTGACTGATGCTGGCCTCATGGTGACTTGTATGCGTCCGCACCTTCGGTATCTTGATGGAAATGAGGGGGAGTGAGTGCTGGAGGGTGGGCATGAGGACAATGCCCCTCGATAGAAGCACCCGCGGGCCCCGGAGCTAATTCATCTAGAAGTCGCATTGGTTAAGTCGCTCCGGAGCTCCTGTTCGCGGAGATAAATCGTGGAATGGGTCCGTGTACACCTCGGGGATGCTAGGAAGGTCGGAGCTAAATAGAACAAGTCTTTAGAGCCCATAGAAGCCTAGAGGCGTGTGAGCGCTGTGTCGAATAAGCTCCGGAGGGCTTGTACGATGTGCTGAGTCCGCGTTTTCAGGAGTCAGACGATCCTGAGGCTTATCAACGACTGGAAAGCCAAGTGGGTTGCCAAGGAGATTTACGAATGCTTTGGGCGAAAGCACATCAAGCCATGGCTCGAAGCGCAGCAAAAACAGGTCGATTTGGACGTCTTGTACAAGATGGACGATATCGCGGGTCCTTTCTTGCCTTCAGGACTGCCATCTGCAACAGCTGGGTCTTCTCAACAAGCTGCTTCGACTACTATGTCTGTGGTCACAAGACTTCCCGCTCCACTCTCTGGATCTACGTCATCTGGAACAGCTCAAGACTCTTCATTAGGCACAAGCACCGCTCGCGACAAGCGCAAGTCAGCCCCGAACGCCGGCGCTCCAAAGCCCAAGCCAAAGAAAAGACGACTACTCCTCAAGAACCCGTAGTAAGTGGCTCATCATGTACCTGTGTCTATTACTGAAATGAGATGGTACACAAGTGATACTGCGACTACTGCACCGCCTGCCGAGTCGAGCAATACTAACACTCCTCTAGCAGATGACGTCGAGACTCATGACATCGACAGTGGTGATCGGGGGCAAAGAGACTCCCGTAGGATTGTCGACGAGACTGGCCAGCGTGATGGTGAGTCGCAGCACGAGGACAATGACAATGTCCGCCGCGCTTTCGTACACGCAGACGACGACAACGTAGGAGGTGAGTCAGGTCATGCAGGCAGCGGAAGCGGGCGTGATGAGTCGGCGGGTGCTGGCGGCGAAGATGGAGGCAGTGAGTCAGCACCGGGCAATAATGGCGAGGGAGGACAGGACTGCGACAGTCAAGAGGGTGGCGAGTCAGCGCAGCAGGACAGGAGTTGTGAGGACCGTGCGGCTGAGGGCGGGGGTGGTAGTGTCCTTCAGGACGCCAGCGAGATGCGCTGTGTGGACAGCACTGGAGGTGGCCAACAGTCGGAAGGGGAGCCGGGGGTTGGCGGCCGTTGTCCAGATGGTCCAAAGGGAAAAAGGCAACGGGGAAAGCTCGTAGAGCTGCCAAAGGAGGTGAAAACAGGACGGTAAGTGGTCATGTCGTCAAGCAGTCTTTGCCACGCTTACTGGCTCTCTTATGGTCTCAGGCAGTACTTTCAACAGGAGCAATTCCGCGTGGGGAACGTCACAAATTCCCAGTTCACGACAGTCTGGAAGAACATGTCAAAAGATCAACAAAAGGTCAGATCCACTATGTATTCTCGCATACTCTCTGATGCGACGTGCGGGGGCAATTAGCATTACCAGGATAAGGCCGACGAAGAGGGAAAAGAAGCCGCGGAGGCTGCGGGTGTAAGTGTACTGTGCCAAAGTCGAGATTAGCTGACAAATTTTTCTAGAGGACATGGAAGCCCCGAGTACGGAAGGTAGGGAACCAGGAGAAAGACGCATAGGACCTGGTTAGGTATGTGCACGAGACACATTTGTATTCATGTAAGTAATGATTCTTATATCACACAGTATCTGCCTTGGATTTCTTGCTCAGAGCGTCGAGGATCGGTGGGAGGGAGAACTGGGAGCAGAGGGGGATGGGAGGGGGATGGCGGGGGATGGGGAGGGG